AAAAAAAAAATTATCTCTCTTAAAAGTACACATTTTTAATTAACAGTTTGAACTCATTTAAGACCTTAATTAAATCTTCATCTTCCTGTTATTCCATTTTATATTGACTCTACAGATTTCTTGAGTTCATTATTTACCAGACAGATCCCTGTCTTTTATTCTGCCTTCACATACAGTGATCTCCTTTATCACTGTAAATCCTGAAAGGAAAGAATTACATTCAGAAAGCAGGTGACACAGTGAAAGAGCCCATCGATGAAGTAAATTTAAAAGTATCAAAGTATCTGAATGAAAATGAGGGCTGGCTGTTTGCTTCTGTTTTGTTGGGTAAAGAGGGGGCACTATACAGTAAGGGGTGGTTGATCAGATATTGTAATATATCAGTGGAAATCAGTTGTCATCAGTGGTTTGTTTTTTTTTTTAAATTTTATTAGTTTTAATGAACATTTAGAGATTTTGGGTTCTCATTCATTCATTGTTGCACTGTTTTCTCTACCCTCCTCCCTGGTTCATTCTTCTTCCCTCCCCCCCGAATGTCTGTTTTAATTGTCCAATTGCCATAGTGCTTGTCAAAGCCAGTTCTGATTAATCTCCTTTGTCAGTGTGTCCTTTGCCATTCCCTATCACTCCTCCCTGAGAGAGACTTCACCCTGATTCATAAGGAAAAGGGGATGGTGTATTCTCTTAGCTACTTCCTGCTGAAAAGGGATGCTGTGGGTTTCAGGGTGATCTTCTCTCACTACTCTAAAGGGCCCCTTTGGCAATAGGAAACACATAGACTGTTATGGAGATTGATTTTGGAATTTAGATGCACTGTTATTAATTGTGCTTAGCCGTACATGTTCATATCCTTGAAGATGTATCATGGAGGTGTTGCAGCCTAGAAGACACAAATTTAACAAGTTAAAAGTACATGAGTCAAAAATTAACAATCAATAATATTCCGAGTAGAGGTTCTAGTAGTGGCACAAATCAAGTTACAGAGGGAAGTATTAACAATATCATCATTTCCAATCCAGAGATATATGTTCCAATGCAGTACCTATTTTCCATAAATGGTTTTGGTAAGAGGAATGTTGTAAATGTGGATACATTTCCACTATTCCTCCTCCATGCCACGATATAGTGTTATTAGCTTGAGCAGTTATAAATCCATTGCCATCCTTACTCTAACTTAGTTCTTTTTTTTTTAAATTTAAATTTGTTATTAATTTCAGTGAAAATTTACAGAGGCTTTGGATTTCCATTCATTCATGCTCAAAATCCCTAGCCCTAAGAGAGATGCAAATTAAAACAACTATGAGATATCATTTCACCCCAGTCAAAATAGCAAAATTTAACAGAACAGCAAGCAACAAATGATGGCAAGGTTGTGAAGAAACTGGAACCCTTATTCACTGTTGGTGGAAGTGTAAAATGGTGCAATCCCTGTGGAAAGCAGTATGGCGCTTTCTCAAAAAGTTGCAAATAGAGATACCATTTGACCCAGCAATTCCACTACTGGGAATATACCCCGAAGAGACCATAACTGACATCCAAGCAGATATATGCACACCCATGTTTATTGCAACTTTGTTCACAATAGCAAGGAGTTGGAAACAATCTAAGTGCCCATCAACAAACAAATGGCTAGAGAAGCTGTGGTATATTCGCACAATGGAATACTATGCTGCATTGAAAAACAAGGAACTCATGCAATATTATTCAGAATGATTAACTCTGGAAAACATTATGCTGAGTGAAATATCCCAGTCACAAAAGGACAAATATTGCATGGTGCCACTGTTGTAGAATGGGACTGACCTCGGGGTTGGGAAGAGACTGAGTAAGATGGGTTCAATAAAGTATACTGCACTGAAACAGAGGAGGGAGAAAACTGTTTAAAGGAGATATGTGATTAGGTATTTCTGTCATGACAGGAGTCTAGAGCGATGGCTACATGGTGGAGTGGACCTGGGGGAGGGTTTGTAAAACAATGAAAGAATCTTTTACTTTTCCAAGAGGGTAGTGTTCTGGGGTAGGGGGGAGCCTTGGGAGGGGACAAGTCATCAGTGTTTAAAACACAGTGTGTACGACTGTGTTATTGTTATATGCCATCTAGTTGCCTGCTCTATCCTGTGACAGTGTTATTGTCTCTGACACACCTACTCCCCATTATCCCTGTCATTAAGTCAATCCATCTCATCAAGGGTCTTTGTCTTCTGCGCTGTCCCTCCACCCTCCCAAGCATGACGTCCCTCTCCAAGGACTGGCCCCTTCTTGCAGCATGTCTGAGTAAATAAAAAACAAATAATGATTTGTAAACTTCCATTCATATCAGAATAAAATAAAAAGTTGTTATGTGCCGTCGAGTCGTTTGCGACTCATAGCGACCCTGTGTACAACAGCCCTAAACCATGCTCTATCCTGTGCCAATCTCACTGCCTCTGACACACCCATCCCGATTACCCCAGTCACTGAATCTATTCACCTCATAGAGGAGAAAAAAAAAAACTTTCTGAAGCAATTCTCTAAGTATTTGGGATTAGTCAAAAATTACATGACAAGGGGGCCCTGGTGGCCTAGTGGCAAGAAGCTGTACTGCAATCCTGAAGGCACGTGGTTCGAATCCACCAGATGCTCCACTGGAAGAGGAGGAGCAATTTTCTCCTGAGCCAGTCGGATCTGGTTTGATGGCACATAACAAGAAAAGGGGGGTTGGGGAAAAAGAAAATAAAATTTCAATCTTTAAAATAGAGATAAAATGACTCAAAATGACTCAACTACCATGGATTGACTTTTAACTACTTCAAGCATCTCTGTGTGCCTTACAGAAAAAAAAAATCTGTTTTCCTAGATTGTTTTGTGAAGTGTCATTGAGTCATAGACGACTTATAGCGACCCAGTGAATGAAAGTCCTCAACACTTGTGTAACTTTCATCTTTTCTCCAGGTTCATAGGGTTTCCGGAAGCAAGCTATTACGGAAGTGGATGCCACTCCTCCTTCCAAGCTTGTTTTAATCAGGAGCTCCACCAAACACTGTCCACCATGGGTAACAATTATCACATTTGACACATCGGTGTCTCAGTGTTCAGCTTCACAGCAACCACAAGTTACCTCTGTACAGCAAGTGGGCATACCAAGGCTATACGACCTAGAAGAATCTTCCAAGATAGTCAGAGCTAATCTGTTAGCCTGTAATTTAATATTTAATATTTGAATGTTGTTGAGTTGGAACCGTCAAGTTGAAACTAATCCTTAGCTGGCCTTCCAGGGGGTTTTCAGGGGCAATTAATCGCCAAGAAATGAGATTGCCCATCTTTCTCCCACAGAGCAGCTGATGGATTCCCAGAAACTGCAATACAGCTTCTTAGAACTAGACCACGAGAGCGTGACTAGAAATTATAAAATGAACTTTTCTATTATCTCTTTTGATCCTCACCTTACTATTGCGAGACAAAGCCAAGAGGAAAGTAGTGACTCATGATACCTCAGGCCAGATGACAGTTGAGGAGAGGCCAAGCCACAACTCAGGAGAAGTTTTCTGCTTCCCCCTCTTTTTTGTTCCAAGTAGCTTATCTGCCCTCAGTCTCTAGTGAATCTTACTCTCAGCTAAGTGGTTAACCTCTCCTCTTTCCTGGACATCCCTTAATGTCTATGTCTTTTAATACCAATATTTGATGAGTGAATTTGATCATTATAGAGTCATCTTCAAATGACTAGGAGTCAGATATACAACATTGCCTTGGTATAAACAAACCTTATTTAAGTGACCATTTTCTATTTTAAAATTTGTTTCCACACTCTAAATCTGGAACTGAAATCACCTGTTAGTGAAAAGCACAGTGGGATACAACATGAAGAATATTACACATAAGATCTGTGCCCTACTTTAAACCCATCAGTATAAGACCAGAAGGTCAACATTGAGTCAAGAGTAAAAAGTAAAAATGAAAAGATCAGGGCACAGGCAAACAAGAGTACTGGAGACAGAGCACAGTTAATGAGAATGTTGACACACTGTGATCAGAGTAAATAAGGTCACTAACAAGATGTATGGAAATTGTCAAATGGGAACCTATCTTATTGTGTAAATTTCATTAAATCTAATAAAACATTTTTAAAATATTTTAAAATTATCTCTGTAACTTGTTGACATTCTCAGTATTTTCATTTGAAACACTGGACATTTTTTCTTAATTTCACAAGTCTGAATTTTTCTGTGGCATACACCTGTGTATGTGTAAAAATAAGTAATTAAATAAAATCAGAGCCCAAATCCCACCTGCAAATACATGGTTGTGTATTTGCTGTGAGAGAGTCACTTGGGCTCTTTAGGGGTTTAGGAATTATCAGGTGATAAGTATTGTTTGTCTTTTCACCTCTTGTTTCCTAGCAATATCTAAATACGTCAGTTCTAAATGTATTTTAAGAAAATCCAGCCATATACAAACTGATTGTTTTGGTTTTTCTCTTCCTTCAGGGGAAAATAGTTCATCAAAGTTTAAATATTATAAATTCGTTCTCACAGAAGGTAAAGATACAACAAATACGTTCATTGTCAGAAGATATACGTTTTTACTACAAACGATTACGGGGCAACAAAGAAGACTTGGAGCCAGGGAAAAAGTCAAAGGTTTGGAAATGTTATATTTTCAGGTTCCTGTCTGTTAATGTTTTGTTACTATAACCTGTGTGTGTTTGGCACTCATGTTTCTCCTGTGCCTCTTTGTAGATCGCAAACATTTACTTTGATCCTGGACTGCAGTGTGGAGATCACTGCTATACTGGCTTACCTTTTCTCTCCAAATGTAAGTCACCTGGCTTCACTCCCCAAGTAATTGTTTTAAGTAAAAGGCTGCAACTTTAAAAGTCCATCCCTGGCTCTTAGTACTGTAGAAATCAGTAGAAGGAAAATTGACTAGTGATAATAGATGTAAGGCAAATTATACCATGCTATTTCCTTGTTTTCGTTCTAATGCGAAACCTATACTTGGACCAGGAGGCAGTCGTCAGAACAGAGCAAGGAAGGGAACACTGCATGGTTCAAAATTGGGAAGGGCATATGCCAGGGATGCATCCTGTCTCCATACCTTTTCAACCTATATGCAGAACAGATTATCCGGGAGGCTGGGCTCCATGAGGAGAAATGTGGGGTCAAGATTGGTGGACAATTTATCAACATTCTGCATTATGCAGATGACACAACCCTGCCTGAAGCACCTGCTACAGAGGGTCAAGGACTGCAGCCTTCAATATGGATTGAGGCTCAAGGTCAAGAAGACAAAGATTCTCACCACTGGACCAATTGGCAGCATCAGGATGGATGGTGAAGAGATTAAGATTGTACACAGCTTTAGTTTGCTTGGCTCCATAGTCAACAGTCTTGGCACCAGCAGCTAGGAAATTAAAAGGCGCATTGCCATGGGAAAGTCTGCTGTTAGGGACCTCTCCAAAGTGCTGAAGAGCAATGGTGTCTCTCTGGAGACTAAGGTGCATCTGATACAGGCCATGGTCTTTGCAATCACTTGTTATGCATCAGAGAGTTGTACAATGACCAAGGAGGATAGAAGAATTTTTGCCTTTGAGCTGTGGTGCTGGAGAAGAGTATTGAGAATACCATGGACTGCTAGGAAAACAAACAGATTTGTCCTGGAAAGGGTTAAACCGGGTGGCTCCTTGGAGGCAAGTATTCTGAGGCTCCGTCTAACATACTTTGGACATGTTGTGAGGAGAGACCGGTCCTTAGAGAGGACATCATGCTTGGGAGGGTGGAGGGACAGCGCAGGAGAGGAAGGCCCTCTATGGGGTAGATTGATTCAATGACTGGGATAATTGGGATCAGAGTGTCAGAGACAGTGCGATTGGCACGGGACAGAGCAGAGTTTAGGGCTGTTGTACATAGGGTCGCTATGAGTCGCAAGCCACTCGACGGCACATAACAACAAACAACATTTCCTTGTTTTAGCTGAATCCAAAATACATCCTGGTATAGCCATGCAGGAAGATCTGTGGGATGCTGACTGGGATTTGCATCAAAACCTCTTCAAAGGATGGCTGGGGATAAAGGAAAATTCAGATCATCGGTGAGCGGTTTTGCTTTTTACTTATCATCATAAATTTGAAATATTTCACTTAATTTTACTCTCTAAATGTTATTATGTTCGTTTATTTATTAATAGCAAAGAAAAGATGCTTAAACTTCAGAACATTAATAGTGAGTAATCTTAGCTTGGAAGGAGGAGAGGCATCCACTTCCATAATAGCTTGCCTCCGGAAACCCTATGAACCTGGAGAGAGGATGAAAGGTACCCAAGCGTCAAGGACTCTCCTTTCATAGGGTCGCTATGAGTCGCGTGCGACTCGATGACACTTAACAACATCAATCTTAACTTGTCATTTTAATCATATATTACAGAAATACACTCAAACCTTCATGTCCACAGATCCCAACCACAGATCAAAAACCTTTGGAGGGTCTGGTATCCTAAAGAATAATTGATTGCCTTCAAGTCAAGCATGACTCATAGCGACCCTATGAACAAATGGTCTCAAACCCCTCTACAACTATCGACATTTATCAAAGTTCATAGGGTTTCCAGAGGCATGTTGTTTAGGAAGTAGATGCCATTCCTGCTTCCATGGTCAGAGTAATCCCTCAAAGGCTAAGTAAGAAGGAGTGTAAAGTGCAATTAACTTAACATTTAAATTATGTTAGATATTATAAATAATCTAGAGTTGATTTGAAGGATGTGTGTAGGTTATCTGTAAATATGGCACTATTTTATAGAAGGTACTTGAAAATCAATTGATTTCACAGAGGAACCAGTCCTCTGTGGATAGCAAAGGATGACTATATATAGATTACAATATTCCCCTTATTTTTCCTGTAGACACATACTTTAAATTCTTTGAAATTGTCTTTATGTAAGGTAGCTATATACTCTCCGTAGACACAGGCTTTGTATGGGAATGTTTGGGGGTTTTTCCTACTAGTTTATTTACAAAATTCAAATAGAAATTTGAACAAATTCTTTGTTTCCCTCACCTCCCCACCCATTAAATTGTACAGCCCAATGATTAACCCCTCCTTCCCCCTGCACATCCACATCCCTCCGCTTCCAGCCTCACTGACCCCTCCTGGATCCTTATTGTACAGTGAAGGTTTTATATAATATTTATCCTTGTGGGACTGATTTAGTTCACTCAGCATAATGCTCTTCAGTCTCTCCCAAGTTAGATGATAATTTACAAAGTTATTGCTCCTGCGTGCAGCATAGTATTCCATTGTGTGAATGTACTAAAATTTCTCAATCCATTTGTTTGTAGTTGGACATTTTGCTGTTTCCATGTTCTTGCGATGGTGAATAGTGCTGCTATGAACATTGGTGTACAAATCTCAGTTTGTGCCTCAGTTCTCATATCTTCAGGATATATATGTATATATATATGCGCTAAATAGTGGAATAGCTGTGTCATATGAAATTTCTATGTTCAGCTTTTTGAGGAAGTGCCAAACTGTCTTCCAGAATGGTTGCACCATTTTACAATCCCACCAAAAATGTATAAGAGTTCCTTTCTTGCCACATTCTTTCCAATATCTATTACTTGCTGCCCTGTTGACCTTTTTCACTCTTACTAGAGTGGGATGGTACCTCATTGTTCTTTTGATTTATATCTCTCTTATTGCCAGTAATTTGGAGCATTTCTTTATGTGTCTTTTGGCCATTCAAATATCGTCCTCTGAAAATTCTTTACATATCTTTTGCCCATTTTGTAATACGGCTATCAGTATTTTTCTTGTGGTGGCCCAGGAATATTCTGTAAACTTTTGTTGTAAGACTCTTGTCTGAGATGGTATTACCAAATGTTTGTTCCCAGTCTGCAGGCTTTCTTTTCACCCTGTTGGAAATAGTTTTTGATGCACATATGGATTTAATCTTTAGCAGGTCCCATTCATCAGTTTTATCCTCTTTAGACTGTGCATTTCTGATTGTATTTGGCAGTCTCTTTATACCTTGGACTAGCACTTCTATGATGGATCCAAGTTTGTCTTTATGAACGGTTTTGGGCTTTACTCCCAGGTCTCTGATCCACCTTGAGTTGATTTTTGTTTATGGTGTGAGATGTGGATCCTGTTTCAGCTTTCTACAGGTAGAAGTCCAGTTTTGCCAGCACCATTTGTTGTCTTCAACAACATTATCATTTCCCCATTTGATAGCTTTGATTTCCTTGTTGAGTATCAGCTGACCAAAGATAGCTGAGTCTATTTCTGGGTTCTCAGTTCTGTCCTATTGGTCTATGTGCCTGTCATTGTACCCAGTACCATGCTGTTTTGGTTACCATTGCTGTGTAGTAGGTTTTGAGGTCAAGGATTGCTATGCCTCCAACCTCATTTTTTTTTCTCAGAAGTGTTTTGCTTATTCAGTGTCTCTTGTCTCTCCAAGTAAATTTGATACTTTCCCTTTCAATCTCTATGAAAAATGAATTTGGTATCTGGATTGGGATTGCATTGAACATGTAGATTGATTTTGGTAGGATTGTCATTTTCACCATTTGAGCACATTTTTCCATTTCTTTATTGTTCATATCTTTTATTGTGTCTTTCAGAAATGCTGTGTAGTTTTCTTTGAATAGGTCTCTTGTATCTCTAGTTACATTCACTCCCAAGTATCTGAATTTGTGGTTGGCTATTGTAAATGGTATTGCTTTCTTTATTTCCATCTCAGAGTTCTCTTTGTTACTGTAGTGGAATCCTTTTGATTTTTTTATATTGATCTTATATCCTGCCACTCTGCTAAATTGGCCTATTAACTCTTAACAGGATTTTTGTTGAGTCATTGGGATTCACTATATGAGAATGTTTTTTACCTACCACTGACCTCTGCTAAGGGCAAGGAAAGTATTTTATATATTCAGTTCCACAGTGGGTTAAGTGATTGTCTAAAGAACTTCGCGCTCAGATTTCTCTCCCTTTTTCTAAATGCTAATTTCATAAAGGGCTCAACAGCATAGTCAGAGGGGCATCACCACTGGTCTTTGATGGGTACACAATGTTTTAGTGGTAAATCAGCACTATATCCACACTTAAAAGCCAAGGTATACTTATTTGGCAGTGTAAGAAATTGTTTCTTTCATGTGGTTTAGAGGGGAGTTTGACTGGAATAGTAAGAATATGAAAGCTTTTCTTCTCATCTGGTTAATTTGACATATATTTGTCAGTGTCGTTGAGCTGTTCCAGCTAATAATACTCTAAAATTCTCAAGCGATTAACAGTGAAATTTGAGAACTTTTCTCTATCTTAATTGCTTTATCTGCTGTGAAAGTTTTTAAAAAGCATTTACTCTTAAATGGTGAAAATCAGTACAAAGGGGCTTTCTCTAATGGATTTGTTAAAGACCCACTAATTAATACTCTCCTTGGCCTTTTATATGCCCACAGTGGACATTACAAATTAAGCCTGTGGATTTTTTAACATACTGTGTAGTGCTATCTTCATTTCAACTGGCAGGGAACTTCCTCACCTCACACTCATCACCACCCCTACCTTCCTGCCTGTGTACCCAGCACCCCTCTGCTAAAGCCCTGGATATCCTGCCCTTTCCCGCTGTGTCTAGGTGCACAGTGAGTGTGGCATTCTCTCTGCACCTACCTAGTAAATGTCTACCCAAAGGCAGTGCCTCTGGAGGTTTGAATCTTGACAGCAACTCCATGAGAGAATGATATGCAGTCTCCTCTCATGCAATTTACAGCTTCAAAAACCCAGAGGAGGGTCTCTTTTGACTTGATGACAATAAATTTTTGAGGCTTATAAAACCTATATTTTCCCTCATTATTAGAGTGTCATAATTAAGTAGTGTAGTGCAAGAAGCTGTGCTGATATCCAGAAGGCACATGGTTTGAATCTACCAGCTGCTGTGCAGGAGAAATATGAGTAGCCTCCTCTTATGCAATTAATTGCTTTTAAAAACCCACTGGAGGGTCAGCTATGGCTTGGTTCCAACTTGATGGTACACAACAACAACAACAATGAAGAAAATGGAACTTCAGTGTTTTGGCCCAGGGTCTTTAACTACACTTATAATGCTGTTTCCTTAGGAATTCTGGCTTAAGTTCTAAACACTTTGAAGTAAGAGCATTTTCAAGTGGATTCCTGAAGATTGCCGAAACTTGTATCGACATAAAACCCTCACATGTATTACTTAAAGTTTTCATTGCAAATCAGGATTTTTTTTTAATAGTAAGGGAGGAAAGGGTTGAATGCCAGTTTATTTCTACTTACAATTATCTGTGCTCTGCTGCTGTTTTCAGGGGCAATTTACAGAACTCTGAAAACCCATTAGAAGTCAGTGCTGACTCGATGGTGTATGATAGCACGCGTTGTCTAGGTCTGTCCACTAGGCCACCAGGCTTAAGCCTTGCAGGAATCCTTAACATCATGTGTTTTTAAATACATAACTTATAGCACTCCTTTCTTTATATACCTTCTTCTTATCAATATATTACCTAATAGAGTTCAGATTTTAGCTTTAGTCTTCATTGAATTTATGCATTAAAAAGTTTTTCAAAATTGACACAGGATTACATTAATGTTATTGATACTAGTGCTAAGATTTGTCATCATTTATGTAGTCAGTAAGAAAACAATACAGGTTAAATATTTTGTCAGTTTTTTGTACCAAATAAAGACAACATATAGCATTAAAAGCAAGTTGTTGTTGTTGTTATGTGCCAGCGACTCTTAGAGACTTTATCTACAACAGCTCTGAACCCTGCTCTGACTTGAGCCAACCTTACTGTCTCTGACACACCTACCCCCCAGTATCCCAGTCTCTGATTCAATCCATCTCATCGAGGGTCTTCCCCTCCTATGCTTTTCCTCCACCCTCCCAAGCATTATGTCCCTCTCCAAGGACTGGTTCCTCTTTGCAGCAAGCCCAAAGTATGTCAGATAGCAAGGACCAGCCTGGTTTCACCCTTTCCAGGATGGGCCTATTTATTCTCTTAGCAGTCCTTTTAGAAGGATTAATACCTAGTCCCTATTCATTACTCTTCTCCAGCACCACAGCTCAAAGTCATCAATTTTCCTTCTGTCATCCCTAGTCATTGTCCAGCTTTCTGATGCTTAGTACCTAATTGTGAAGATCATGGTCTGGATCAGGCACACACATTAGTCTCCAGACTGACATCATTGCTCTTCAGTACTCTGGAGATGTCCCTGACAGCAGACTTCCCCAATGCAGTTCATCTTTTGATTAAAAGCATAAGATAATATAAATCTGTTTTTCCTGGAGTAGAATAAACTTCTAAGTTTCCTAACCTAATATTTCTTATATTAATAATTGACTCTTGTTCTGTTACTTTAAAAAAAATTTTTTTTAGACTAAATGCTATATTTGAAGTAAATACAGACCTTCAGAAAAATATAATATCAAAAATCACGGCTGAGCTCTCCTGGCCTTCCGTACTCAGCTCACCCCGACACTTGCAGTTCCCACTCACCAGCACAAACTGCTCTTCGGTAAGCATTCAGAGACTTGGGGGTCTTAGAAATACATAATAGAATAGCAGCATATTTAATGTTGCTTTTAATTATAGGAATCTTTCTTTTAATGTTTTCAAACTCTATTTAAGGAAGAAGAGATTACTTTGGAAAACCCTGCAGATGCCCCTGTTTATATTCAGTTTATTCCTCTGGCTTTATATTCCAATCCTTCAGTCTTTGTAGATAAGTTAATGTCAAGGTGAGTTTTGTTTTAGATAATCAAAATATTTGGTTTTGTTAAATTATTTTACTTAGTTAAAACTTTACTAAAGCTTATAGAGTAGGCTTTGAGAAATTCTGGATCTATAATTGAAGTCAAGAGAAGATTCTGGGGAGAGAAGTTGGTATTATGTTAAGCATCTAGAAGTGTTTTCATCTTAAAGTAAGAAGGATTAATACCTAGTAAAACATTTTTTTTGTTTTTGTTTGAGTCCCAAATGATTTGTAAAGAGAGAACAAGTAAATCTCTCAAACATTTCTGTTTCTTAAAATGAACAAGATAACATTTATTTTTTAAAGTAATTAATCTAGTAATATGTCAACTATAATTTGCAAATTAAGTACAGACTTGATAATTACTCCATAATTCTTTTAATTATGATGATGCTTATAAGTAAATATGTGTACATTTTGATTTTAGGTTTAACTTGAGTAAGACGACAAAGATAGATTTGAGAACACTAGAATTCCAGGTATTCAGAAATAATGTAAGTATTCAAAATTCTTCCCATTCCAAAGAAATTATTTTATGACATAATCAATGTAAATATAAAAGCTACTAGAAATAAGAAGTCCAATAACTTTTTGAGGCAAAAAAACTTCAAATAAAAAGTGAATGAGATTGAGTTCAAAGTCAGGCACAATATGTAGAAGGTTCTGTGTTCCTATTTTAGGCATTAAAATACTAAGCATTTCAAGACGTATGTAATAGCTATAAGATACTCTTAGATATGTGGAAGAGATATGTATAAGTGCATGGCATATTTTTATTCAGGATTAAATTTTTCAGCTTGGTCATTTAAATTTAAATTCAGAATACTTTCTAATAAAATTGTATGTTTCACATATGGCTGACCTAAGGCTGGTGGTGTTAATCTCTGTTCCATGCTTGAGGTCACTTAGCACAATAGCATGCATGATTTTCAATGATAGGTATTCTTGAATTAGTAAATTTGCATTTACTATTTTGTTTGGGTCACAAAACTGTTTTTCTATCATACAGATCAAACTGAGCAACAGCTAACAGCTCATTATTATCTAACCCTTACTGTAAAGTATGTATCCATAAAGTACCTTGCACACTGGCCCAGATCTTTTGGCCTCCATACCCATTTGGCCTGTCTAGTGCTCCTATAGCAGAAATATCACGAAAGAAGCATAAACAGATGATGTCTTACCCTTTAGGGGACTAGCAGTCCAAATGCAGAGTGCCAGCTCCTGAGGAAGGCAGGCTTAGTGCTTCCTCCCCAATAGCGCCAAACTTACTAGCACAGAGGTCAGGTTCACCAATGCACACTTCACTCCTGACAAGGATTTATAGTTTTGTTTTGTTTTTTAAAAATCTCATATTTATTGCAGTACTTTGTACAGTGTATTTGAGTAAAAGTTTACAGACCACATTGATTTTCCAATTAAAGGAGTCATATACTTTCTATTACAATTATGAAATTCTCTTAGCCATAATCAATTTTTCTTTTTTTAATTTTTATTTTATTTTATACTGATTTGCTCACAAAGTTCATTGTTTCACACTATTCTTCATTCTTACAGTGTTTCATGCAATCATTTCTATGCATTATAGTTTATTAAATTAACCACCAGTGGACTTCAGCCATCATTACCCACACTTTTCAGGTCCCTGCCAGATCCTTCCTATTTCCTTCACCCCTTCCCTCCACCCACCAAACTGTGCAACCCTTTGGTTTCACCCCTACAAATCCTCATCCTTCTCTGTTCCTACCCCTTCCCTGCTTGGGTCCCCATACATGTTTTACTAGTCATCCTTCTATTTTTACATTAATGGTCTTATGCAGTATTTTCTACTCTACAGATTCTCCCACAATATGTATTTTTCAAAATTGTTGCTCCTTAGTTTTACATAGTATTCCATCGTGTAAATGTATCATAGTTGCTTAGTTTATTCAGTTGGATGTGAATAACGCTGCTATGAACATTGGTGTACAGATCTCTGTTTGTGTCTCAGTTCAAAATTTCTTAGGGTATATTCCTGGTAGTGGAATAGCTGGATGGTACAGAGTGTCTGTGTTCAACTTTTTGAGGAAAGGTCAGACTGTCTTCCACAGTGATTTCATCATTTTACAATCCCATCATATGTATATAAGAGTTTCCACCTTTCCACATCCTCTCCAAAGTTTATTGTTTGTTGCCCTGCTAAACTTTGCCACTGCTAATGGTATCTCATTGTGGTTTTGATTTACATCTCTCTTATTGCCAGTGATTTTGAGTGTTTCTTCCTGTGTCTGTTGGCCATCCTAAAGTCTTCCCCTGGGAAAAGTCTTTGCATGTCTTGTCCCATTTTGCACTTGGGTTATCAGGTTTTTTCTTCTGGAGGCCCTGTAGGTTTCGGTAAACTTTCATATGAGACCCTTGTCTGAGATAGCATTGCCAAATGTTTGTCCCCAGTTGATAGGTTTTCTTTTCACAATGTTGGAAAATTTTTTTGATGAGCTCAGAGATTAAATCTTTAGAAGGCTCCATTCATCAATTTTATCCGCTCCAGATTGCACATTTCTGACTCTATTTGTCAGTCTCTTTATACTGTAGCTAGACCTTCTAGGTTTGATTCCACTTTGTCTCTTATGAACTTTATAGGTTTGGGCTTTACTCCCAGGTCTCTGATCCACCTTGACTTGATTTTTTTGTATGGTGTGAGGTGTGAGTCATGTTTTCAGCTTTTTAAAGTCAGCAGTCCAGTTTTGTCAACACCATTTGTTGAAGAGGTTGTCATTTCCCTATTTGATAGGTTTATTTCCTTGTCAAATATCAGTTGACCATCGAAGAGAGGTCTATTTCTGGGTTCTTGATTCTGTTCCCTTGGTCTGCATGCCTGTCATTGTACCAGTACCATGATATTTTGGTTGTTATTGCTGTGTAGTAAGTTTTAAGGTCAGGGGGTACTATGTATGCCTTTCACTTCATTTTTGCTTTTCAGAAGTGCTTTGCTTATTTAGAGTCTCTTTCCTCTCCAAATAAACTTGGTCCCTTTCAATTCGCTTTTGATCCCTTCCCTTTCGATCACCTTGAAAAAATGAATATGTTATCTGTATTGGGATTATGCTGAACATGTAGATTGCTTTTGTAGGATTTTCAGTTTCACAATATTGAGTCTTCCTGTCCCTGAACAAGGAACATTTTCCCATTTATTTAGGGCTTTTATTGTGTCTTGAAGAAATGTTCTGTAATTTTCTTTGTCCATGTCTTTTGTGTGTATAGTTAGGTTCACTCTCAAGTATCTCCATTTGTGGTTGAATATTGTAAATGGTATTGCTTTCTTGGTTTCCTTCTTTGAGTTCTCTTTGTTACTGTAGAGAAATTCCACTGATTTTTTAGATTTTGATCTTGAATCCTGCACCTGCTACTCTACTTAATTGGTCTGTTGACTCTAACTATTTTTGGTTGAATCCTTGGGATTATTATTTCATCTGCATATAGGACAATTTAAACATCTCTTTGCTAATCTGGATGCCTTTTATTTCCTTCTCTTGTTATATTGCCTTTCTTTCAAAACAATATTGAATAGAAATCATGACAGTGGGCATCCTTGTTTGGTCCCTGTTGGCAAAGAAAATGCTTTTGATCTTTCTCCATTGAGAATGATACTGGCTATTGGTATTGTGTATATACGTTTCACTATGTTAAGGAAATTCTCTTTTATTCCAATTTTGCTAAAAGTCTTAATCCGGGAAGGAAGTTGGATTTTGTTAAATTAAATGCCTTTTAAGCATCAATTGCTAGGATCATATGGTTCTTGTCACTTGCTTTGTTAACTGTGATGAATTGCATTGATTGTTTTTCTTAAGTTGAACCATCCTTCCATACCTGATATGAATCCCACGTGGTCATGATGAATTGGGTTTTTTTAAAGTGCTTTTGGATTCCATTGGCCAAGATTTTGTTAAGGATTTTTACATCTATTTTCATAAGAGGTCTGTAGTTTTCATTTTTGGTAATAACTTTGCCTGGTTTTGGTATTAGGGTTTTGGTATTGGGGTTATCTATCTCTTGGAGTGTTCCTTCTTTTTCTATTTTTTTTTTTTAATTAAATGGAATTGTTGATAAATCTTCTCTGAATGCCTGGTAGAATTCAGCCGTGAAGCTATCTGGTCTAGGACTTTTTGTTGTTGTTGTTATTGGGGAGTCTTTAAATGACCTTCTCAAATTCTTTTGTGAAGTGTCTGTTCAGCTGTTCTACATTTGTACATGTCAGTCTGGGTAGGGCATGAGTTTCAAGGAATTTGTACATTTCCTCTAAGTTTTCAAATTTATCCAACTATAGCTTTTCATAATACAATACTACAGATTTTGTTTCCTCTGATTCTGTCATTCCTTAATCGTATTATTTGTGTCTTCTCCTTTTTTTTTATTAAGTTTGCCAATGGTTTGTCAATTTTATTGACCTTTTTGAAAAACCAGCTTCTAGTTTTATTGATAGTTTCAGTTGTTTTTGTTTTCTGTCTTACTGATTTCAGCTCTTGTTTTTATAATTTCCTTTCTTCTAGAAACTGTGAGGTTAGATTGTTGCTGTTTGCCTATTTGATGAAGGTATTGCGTTAGATCATAAATTTTGCTTCTTTCTTCATTTTTTTATGTGTTTGCCTATTGCTATGAACTGCCCCCCAGAGGACTGCCTGAGCTTCATCCTCTAAATTGGTACATTCACATTAAGTGTAATAATTGACAGGCCAAGTTTTATCGTTGCCATTTTGTTGTGTTTCTTTTTGTTGTTTCTTCTTACGGTGGTCCATCTACTTTCCTTTAGTGTCTCTGTGTGAAAGACTTCCCTTTAAAGTTCTTATATTTTCATTATTATTTGTTTCAAGGAATGTTTTTATTTCATTCTTTATTTCTTCCATAGTCCAATCATGTTCTAGCAAGATATACTAAGCTTCTACATTTATTGCTTTATAAGCTTTATCTTCATGTAGTTAATTTCTAGTTTTATGGCATTGTGGTCTTAGAAGATAATTTGTATCATTTCAGTGTTTTTATTTTTTTTGAGACTTCCTTTGTGTCCTCCTATGTGATCAATTCTGGAAAATGTCCCATGTGCACTTGAGACAAAAGTGAATTGAGTTTTTGTTGAGTGCAATCCTTAGAATACGTCCACAGGGTCGAGTTGGCTGAATGTGTACTTTAGAGCTTCTGCATCTTTCTGTTTACAGTTATTTTATGTTATTTCCAGGTCTATCATTAGCAAATGATAGATGTTGAGCACCATTATGTCTTCTTGATCTTCTGTGCCTTTAATCATTATATAGTGCCCTTCCTTATCTTTTATGGTCGTTTTCATTCTGAAGTCTAGTTAACCAGAGATTAGTATTGTCACTCCTGCTTTTGTGTGGAGGCCATTTGCTTGGTATATCCCCCCCCATACTATGAATTTGAGTCTTTCTTTCTCTTCATCTCTTAAATGTGTCTCTTGTAGACAATATATTGATGGGCTTTGTTTTTTTTATTCATGCTGTTA